TTATCGTCCGCTACTGAAGTAGCAATATCAACAAAATTGCAATTGCTACCATCGTCCTAAATCGCAAAAAACGAAATTTTCGGTTTTTTGCCAAAAACGTAAGGGGTACCATCGTCCTAAATCGCAAAAAATGAAATTTTCCCTAGCGAAATAAATTTAAAATTTCTAAATCAGCCTCTTATAAACGCTCGACGATGATGATGACGACTAATGTACGGAGAGATCATATATTTGCCAGAATGATGCTTCTTAGTAAACTTCACTTAATTTGTACTTCTTTAAAGTCGCTTTTGACTCTCTGCACAACTCTCTTGTGTTCAGAAGGATGTTCTCTTACATTTTCCATCTTCGATTTTTATTTATAAATAATTACTTTTTTTTTGTCATTTTTATTTTAATTTTTGGTTTTTGTTTAAAAACATTTCTGTGTATATTTTATAAAATAAAGTTTACTACATATCATCAATTTTTGGATTTAGGTAAAAATTAACTGTAAATGATTTTCATCACGAACTTTAGCTCTAATTAAATATGCAAACATATGTGCGATTGAAATGTAAATGAGGACTTAAGTAAATTAACAAAATTGCATAAAAATATTAAAAAATAAAAAAGGAAAACATGACACTTGTTAATTGTTCGTTACAAAGCTCAAAATAAACATATAAGGAAAGACTGAAGTTTGTCTACGCGACTTTAGATACCCAACCCAGCCCTATCAATTATTGAACAAATTAATAGATTTTTTACAGGCTATAGAGCTTGATACTTGTTCTGATGTGGCATTTAATGAACTACTTTTAAACTCACTATGCAATGAAACTCAAAGAGCGGGAAATGATTGAACCAAAATTGAAAATGTATAAACAAAGTTATGTCATTTTAACGTCAGACGTAATCTTTTCATTCATCTAAATACTGACATACCGATATTTGAGGATGAAGTCAGAATTCATGTATGTCCTCTATTTCTAGCCAAAAGGTAACCAAGGGTGCGCGGATGGTTTAAAGCAATTATCACATGATAATAGGTCCTTCAAGAATTACGGGTTTTAATATGGAACTTTGAAAATTCTACAACAAATACACACAATTCTAAACCTTCTTCTCCACTTAAGGTGGCAAATGAAAAATTAATTGTGAAAAAGGACTTTTGAAGTAAGGAAAATAAAATGTAAAAAAACGAACATTTGTGAGACGTAACTTTTTGAGAAAATAATATTTATAAATGTACTTTAAGAGATTCCATGCGCGTAATAATACGACGACGCAATTCAGAAAATCTGTAAAAAGTAAGATCATATAATAAAATAAAAAAGTACATGCAAAAAATAAACTCACTTGTCTTTAATCTTTGAGACTTCACGCTCCATCTCTTGATCGTAGCGTTCCAAAATTGCACGGCATTCCGGCAGTGACAGATTCAAAAATTGAGCAACTTCGTTACTAAGAATATAAATAAGGAACTTATTTTCACCACATTTTTGGAGAGTTTTCAGAAAAATTAACCTTATTTCGTCGGTTCGACGAGAGTCTACCAAAAATAATTTAGCTACATCCTCATGCGGTCCGAGCATGATGCGCGTTATTAAAGGATATTCGGTTTCTTTGAGACGCTTTTGTTCTCCATTGTCGCGTATTATAAACAACGAAAAATTCTCAGCTGGACTATCAACCTTATACTTTTCCAACAATAAATTGATAACTTCCTGAGTGGTTACTAATGACGTGACCCACACAGACATTTGAGAACCGTAAGGCGGCGTAAAGAACGAGGTTTCACGATTATAAAAGTGACCGTTTATTGAACACCGACGTTTCAGTTTAGTGCGAGATCTGTAAAAAAAAAGGAAAAGATTGTTGACACAAGTTCTTAGGAAAGTAATTTTGTTAAAATCTAACCTTCTATTGCCACTGCGCCTTTTTATGGCTGATGCACCCGTCCGAGGTGGTCTCCTTAGCACAACACCATCTTCTGTTATATGCAACGGTTGTTCCTCGAGATTTGGCTGATCAGTGGTCTCGTGACGCGTTGAGTTAGAATGAGTACCACAGGCGGCAGTAAACATTTCTTCTGTCTGCGTTAGTTCGTCGCCGCCTACAGCACCACTATTAGTAGAAGCCAATGACCGTGGATTATCTTGACGACCAGACGAATCACAATCACTCGCACCATCTTTGGGATAACAATTCATTTGTATTTGTATAAAACGGGGAGGTATATCGCTTTTACGTATTGTAGCCGAAATATGGCCACCTGCACATCGTTTTTGCGGTTTTAATGTGGAATCATCATCATCACTGTCCGAATAATCGATACACGAGGGTCCGGATTTAGAACGATTAATGCCTTTTTCGTAACGCCCGTTTGTTAAAATTTGAATCTGCGCAGAGCCACTTTTTTGCAGAGGATAGGGTAAACGTTTCTGAGCTGATCGTTCCGTTTTGAACGAAAGTGTATCATGGATAAAAGAAGCATCTATTGACCTAAGTGCATGCTCACAATTGAAACTTTTACTCATTGCATTTTCGGACGCGTTGTATAATTTTAATGAATCATGTATGCGGGATGGATCAATAGGCTGATTGCGCTTAAGAGTGTCATCAGCGGGATCTTGAAAAGAATTGGCACCGTTAACGTAGTCTTGATGAACACTGCGTTTAAAATCCTCAAAATCCATTGGTTTAAGAGTGGCATCATCAGAAGTTTCGTAGTTATCTATAGTGGTAGTGGATGTTGTGGCATTAACATTTGTGCTAGTTTCTGTAGTGATTGTTGCTAGAGAGGCAGTGGCTGTAAGGAAATTATCCGAAGAAGTAGTGGCACTAGTGGTTGAAATTGGTGAAGAGTTATTAGATGAAGAAGAAGTCTTGCTAATGGAAGACGCCTCAATATTACTGCTTTCCGTACTTAATTGGTGTGATAAAGTTTTAGACGGTGAGCTATTGGAAGGGGTTGATGAAGAAGAATTTTGCGGGGAACTGGAAGGTAAACGCATTGGCATAGTCTCGTAAACTTTGTCCTTTTCACTAATGCGTCTCTCCACTTGCAATAGGTCATCAATTTCATCCCAATCTAGTTTCTCCAAATTATCTAACTTCGAAGGCAGCGTAGAGCTGATACAATTTGTCGAACTGCTATTTATAGTGCTTGATTGAGAATCAGCTAGAGTGATAGTGGAAGACGATTGCTCAGTGTCTTCTGAGTTTGCGCCATTGGTTAACGCTTCAACATTACCAGTGGTAATGGCAGAAGCTTCTTCAGGTGTAGTTGGTAAATCGGGATATTCGTTAAGACTGCAAGAATCGAAAGTCATACTTTCACTTAGTGATACATCAGTAGAAAGAGCTTCCACTTGGTCACTAGTTGTGGTAGCGGCTTCGTAGGAATCGCTAATTTCGTTATTCTCCTTATCCGACAGGCTATCCTACAATGCGAGGTTATATAAATAACAGATTATATTACAATATAAGAAAAAACGTACGTTTTCGGCTTTGGATAAACGACAAGAGTTTCTTTTGCGCACAACAAAGGTACGCTGATCGTCATCTTCCTTTAGATGTATAACCCCTTGCACACCCCAGTAAACCCGTAAAGCTCCCTCTAAGATTAACCGATTATTCACTTCACGGCTACGTATTTCCATGCTTTTATTGTCATAGAATTGATTGTAAACCTTAAATAAAAAGAATAAAGGTTTGAATTTTATTTAATAAAATGGAAAAAAATTGCATTATAGTACCTTTAACTTTGACTCTAAATGATCACGTGGCAAAGCAGGTCCCGATTGTTGTCCAGACCTTTGAATTCCCCTAAGGCCGAAACTTTTATGCGACTCTACACGTGTACCATGACCAAACAGTTGAGGCCCAAACAAAGCTCCATAGCATGGTACATGGCAATAAGGCACTCCTTTATGCTAAAACAATGGAAAGAAAAAACTCGGGCCTAAACTAATTTGCATTTGCATAAAAGAGCTTACTTACCTCTGCATGTTGTCCGGGATTCAAACGTTTACCACATTCTTCACATCTTAAACATTCCGGATGCCAGTCATAACCTAAGGACTGCTTACGTTCCGCTAAAATTTCCATAAACTTACTTTAAAATATTGAACAAAGACATTCCTGCTTTAATTTACCAAAATAAACTGGCTTGCCACATTTATGACACTTCCACATTCTACAATTTGATATATGACGGATTTAAATGCAAACAATTAGCACAATACTGCGTTGTAATGAAGGGTAACGACCTTTTAAGAATGGACTGAATACCGTAACTAAACATGAACGAACAAAGGAAAAATGTAGATTTGTTTCCGCTAGACGTTAAAATATATAATCCAGAACAATAGTTGTACTAATCCCTTTAGATGTATATATATATATATATATATATATACATATATGTTTATATATTATACAAACATATGCATACATATGCATATAAGAACTTCACATAAGAACATACATATATATATAAGAACCAGAATTCTCCAGTACACAAAATACTTTTGCAATTAAAAATATTTGGCGTGATTAGTTGTATGCCCTATCGTACGTGTTTTGTTTATAAAATAACATTTCATTATTGAAAATTATTATTTATTGTACGCCTCCTTTTTCTGTCTGTGTTCGATCCTTACCACTTTTACTATTGCTCACTACTTCTCTTTCTACACCGACAACTACAAATGTGTGCACCTGTTCGTTTTTTTTTAATATATTATGTTATTATTGCTTCCATGATAATATTAATTTATTTCGCGAACTATATAAATCATAATTTTCACTTCAAATTCTACGATATTTAACTCTTTTAGCATTTTAGTTAAGAACTTCTTAAAAATTAAAAGAATTATGATTAAAGGCAAGGTTGCCAAAGCTTTACTTATTTTACTTTTATGATTACAAATTTAAAGCTGTGCAAAGTTTACAAGTGAATACGATATGTTATTACGATATTTCAACGAAATAGATAAAGTTAGATGAATTAAACATTACAGAAAAATGTATAAAAAACCGTAGTACTTTTATTTTCCCCGTTTTACTGTAAACGCTTTTTACGTTCTAGAGTGATTAACGCAAATGCATCATTAATTTAAAAAATTATTGACTTTCTACATTTTATAAATTATGCGCAAAATTCACTTTTGCAAATGATAGTCTAAAAAGTTGCTTCAGCTCTCTTGCAATATTGTACGAGGTCAGGAAACAGTTTTTCTTTGCTTTCGATTTGAGTCACCGAAGAAAAGTGATTTTTCAAAACCCGCCATATATATTTTCTATTATGGGAATAAATCTCTTACCGAGTCAAAGTCAAATCAATTTTGTTAATGCTTAAAAAAAAAGTATAATTACCCACATAAAATAAAAGATAATTTTTAAAGTACTTGATTAATGCAACTCTGTGTGAAAACGAGTACGTCGAGATAGTTTCTAATGTTTATTACAAGTTGCGTGTTTTTTTGCGAAATAGAATAGTTTGTTAGCATTTTTTGATATAATATTTATAAATCTATAGATATAACGTTATAGAAATTATAACTTTGGGAAAAAACTAGCTCAAATTTTGCATATTACTTTTAAAAAACCAAAAGAAAAAGTTTTAGTTTAAAATATGTGTAAAGTTTACAAGTGCAAAAGCTGGAAAATATTCGTAAAAAGAGATTGTATATCTGTATGAGTTAATTAAGAGAGTGAATCTTATTTAAATAGCAAAGGAATTTTCGAGGATATATATATTGCTATCAGGATAATTAAGCGCAACAGCTGAAAATTAATACTAAATGAAATCAATCATCCAGTCGTTTCGGGGATACAGGAATAAAATCATTTAAACAAACTCGAGTGTTTTATCAAGAGAAAAATTTGTGTTACGGCCAATCAAATATAACAATGAAAACCACTATAGAATTTGAGGAATGTTTAAAGGATTCGCCTAGATTTAGGTAAGTTGCGAAAATTATTTAACAGTCAAACATTTTTATGTAGTTAGATGAATTGTGAAAAGAAAAACAGTTTTAATAACTATTATTTCGATAGGAATGCAGCTACAGGCAGTTAATCCAGGCAGACAAAGTAATGACCAAGCAACGCCCCTATTTTGCAACTTTTTGCTGTTGCATACTTTGATACCGTAGGAATATGTATAAGGGTTGTCTATGGTGAAAGTTCTTAGCATCCATAAAGTTTAGTTTTGAGACATTGTCAACTTACTTAAGAATAGGCGTAATTTCTACCAAACCACACATATCTATTTTATAAGGCTCCCATTGAAGCGAATGTGGATTTTCAATATTTTTTTTTTTTACTTGGTATTTTGTTAATTCATTTTTTATTTTTGTTGAAATTTTCTTATCTATTTATCATGTCATTATTATTCTAGGTATTAGTTCCTAATGGCAGCATGATTATGAATAAATTACGTGGTCATTGTAAAGATTTGATGACAATTTTCTCCCGTCTATATAGCAAACATAGCGGCAACAATGTGCGCAAATTTAATTCTTTGTCTCTTCACACTTAACATGATTATGTATTTCCATGACTTTGATGCTTACTAACAACGGATGCTTCGTAGCAAAAAATTTCTGTAACTCACTAGACATTATATTAACCTTGTCGTTAGACGTATAATATCTAAAACATCATTTAGTGTAATAAATTATATGCATATTGAGTACATATGTTTGTCCATATGGATGTATGCGCGTTTTTCTATATTTCTGTTTGCCAAAGTCACGGCACCTTTTATGAAGATGGGAATAAAACAAATAAGGTAACTAATTTCGACAAACAGTGTTTGCTAGTCAGTTAGTTACGTCATTATAATATCTATTTAATGACGTATGTCATTTTTAATATATCTTTGAAATTATCTTGGTTTTCGGCCGTATTCATGAAGGAATCATATCTACTACTACGTTGACTAGGGAAAATTGATCAGATATGCTAATTAGTAAAAACACTTTCACCTCCTCTCTATACGCGTTTTGATGTAACATGAACATATCTCTATATTTCATTTGAAATATATATATGAGTTGAAAATGCTATCACATGGCGGGTGTAAATAATTCGGCTTAAATGAAACCTAATATTGTCTCTCTTATTAAGAATACTGTCAGTGTTTGTGTGAATTATTAAGCGCTTTCAACTTTTAGAGACTTATTCATCATTTGGGAGCATACAAGCGTACGACTATATGAATTTATATGTGTATTTATCTCTATGTTTCTAGTTCATGTGCCTTGCACGAAAATGTATCTTCATCTGGGAAATTATGTGTGTTATAAGAAACACGAACAACACAAAAACATTTCAGACGACTTAGATATTAACCACGATAAATTACTTGGCAAATCGAATCGGCAAAACATAACGGATTATTCTACTGCGTTAATATTGCAGCAATACAAACATTCATTGTCCTAATTAAAACACATATACATACATATATATATATATATATATATATATATATATACTGCCTTATGTTGAAATTTTCTGCTTGAAATTTCATTTTTGCGGACGGCAAAGTGTGTGATGATTGACTTCTAAATGAAGTTCGCAAAGCAGATAATGGATTAACTGACTCCCGCAATTAAAGCATATGATACATTAAACCAATTACCGAAAATGTTTCGTTTTTAACAGTTAAACTGAAGAACACTATTGAACACTAAACTAAGTTAATCTCATGTTTTTTTTTTCAATATTGTCAGTACATTATCGAAACGGAGTAAAGCTTGATAGGCACTAATAACTTTTATCGAAAGATATGCCTGGCTTTGTTATCACTTTCTAGTTTTTGATTCTCAATTATAAGGAATAAGAAAATATACTTTCAAGGCAAATTACAGCTTGATAAACCATTCAAATCATGGCATATGGTATTTAATCAACATAACCTTATAGATCACATCGATTTTCCTAAAGCAGAGAAAGAGTAAAATTGCGGAAAAGGTTATATATAGAGTTACTGCAGATCTTTTAAATTTAGAATTCTATGAGTTACTTTTTCTTTTACTCGACATTTCTAAGCGCAATATAAGAATTAATTAATAACTTTTGATATAAAAGTCATTTTTTGGGAAAAAATCGTCGATACCACTGCAAAGTTGCAAGTGATTAAATATTCTTTTTTTTATTTTTTTGAAGTTTTACGCTTAATTATCATAAGGTAAACAAGACAGAATGTTTAAAATTATTTTGATATGGGTATCAAATAAAAGGACTTGTAGAGTAGAATGCGACAAGCTAAGTTCCAAATAAAATATCTCGAACATCACGATGTAGTGAACTAATTTTTTCATTGATATGGGTATCAAATGAAAGGACTTGGAGAGTAGAGTGCGTTAAGCTAAGTGTGTTAACTCTAAATTAAGTGTAGTAGAGGTCACGACTTAGTGGATAAATGTCTTCTAAAAAATACCTTCGATATAGGTATCAAATGAAAGGAGTTGGAGAGTAGACTGCGATAAAGTGCGTTAGTTTTAATTTAATTATGGTGGCCGCTTAATACATTAATTTAAGTGGACCAAGCGTGGTAAGTATGCGAAATTCGTCCCCCGCCGAATATAACGCTTAAGTTTTAAGTACTTAATCGATTTATACGCAAGAAAAAGAGAATTAATTTTTTTCTCTAATATGTATTGTATCCCAAAATGGTAGCGATAGATGTTAAACTATACATTTATGCGAATCGTATATTACGTTCTACATGTATTTTTTCCTAGATGCAAGAAAGGGAGAGACAAACTTAATACTCGCTGTGGTGGGAATAATACTAATAATAATCGCAATGCAGACTATCATCTGCAGTATGGATAGGAGTAGTTAGATGGATGCTTATCTAGTAAAGAAGGGGATTTTTAATTAAAAGCTCTTTCTGCTAATTAAAACGTCTTTTACTATAATTGCATTTAAAGTGAGCGAACCAGAATCATTAATCTTCGTATTGTACTCTATTCCATTTTACGCGATCGTAATGAATGTAATGCTCGTATTTTCTGTTCAATCCTTTGGTTGACTTACACGGTATGGATTCGCTTTTCATATTTTCATCTTCATCATTTTTGTATTTTCGTTCCTTGTCTTAATGGCTCTTGGATCTCGTTTTTCGCCTTTCTCACTTTAAACCATTCTTTGAACACCATTTCTGCTGCCGCGTAAAACGACGAACGAGTGTAGCTATAAACTGACTGCTGCAGAAAGAATTTAAAGACTTTCTCCCTAGCATGCATTTAAGATAGGATTAAAGATTTTTAATTATTATTCATATCCACTTCTTTCTTCTTAACGTGCAGACAATTCATCTCTAAAGAAGAAACCGATATCGAACATTTGGAGCAGCGTTTAGATAAAATCATCAAATTGTGCAATATTGCTGTTGACTCAGGCAAAGAGTATGTCAAAAATCAAAGGTAAACAGATTTGAATTTTGTTTCATAATCCTTTAAAAATTAGTTGCTTGATTGTTTTTGTAGTGCATTTGCAATGTCTCTGTGGGATTTACAACAGCATTTTGCTGATAATAAAAATGCTCATAATGCCTTGGGAAAGCTGATACATTGTTTTCAGGTTTGTTTATTTTCTTAAAGAGAATCGATTTACATTCATGCATGCATGTATATATGCATGTATAATGTGTGATTATTTGCTTGTACACTCATTTTTAGTTATCTATTATATATGCATATATATATATATATATATATATATATGTATGTGCATGTATGTAATTTCATTTGTTTATTCTTTTTATAGGAAATGAATAAATTTCATACCATTCTATTGGATCAAGCCACTCGTACGGTATTAAAAAATTTATCTGTCTTCGTTAAGGATGATATTAATCAAGTGAAAGATTATAAAGGACATTTCCTAAAAGTATCCGAAGGCTATGATAATGCACTAATAAAAAATGCTCAAGTATGTTCTTCTAAATTAAAAAACATGACGAATGCAAGTGTGAATGTGTATGCATGGGTGTGTGCAATTCCAAGTATGAATCAATATACAAAAAAAAAAAAAAAAAATTTAATGTTTATTTTATTTAATTTATATGCATGCTTCAACACTTACTTACATTATGTATGTGTATGTTTTTGTGTTTCGTGTTCTCTAATGTGTTTAGGCGAGTAAAAATCGTACACAGGAAGTACAGGAAGCGGCCAATATTTTATCAGCAACTAAATCTTGTTTCCAACACACAGCCTTAGACTATGTCAACTACATAACATTGGTACAGTCGCGTAAAGTACCTTCAATATTATCAACGGTAAGTGTTGCTTAAGATCTTTTCATGTTTCAAATATGCAAAATGTTCGCATTAAGTCCGCTTTTCTCATTGAACTTTTTCATAGGGAAGCCCGTTACATTTGGCGGCAAAACTGACTTGTTACCCCTCGTACCGCGTCGTCTTTGTCATACATATACATGTTACGAATATTGACTTGTATCCTCTACAAAATACAACGCGACCATCATTATTGTGGGGACAATGATAACAACAGATAGAATAATTATCCTAAACGACTGAAAATATTCTTAAAATATTTGATTTGAACTAATTTTTGAAGCGTCTTCCAAATCTGTTTCAAAAAAATTGGCAGAAATTAGAATATGTCTTGCGATATAACTAAAGTAGACATTGCTTGAAACATAACTTGATTTTCGACACACTTCTAAACGCCAACATCTGATTGACACTTTACCTATATATTCAAATTCTAATAATTACATGTATAGATATCTACATAGATATCTTTCCCAGGAGAGAGAATATTGGCCTTTTAAGGAAAAATTGATATAACGCTATTGTTAAACTTTCATTGTTACTCAGGACATGTCTACAGGCCGGAAAATCCCCAACTATGTTAGCCAAAGCCTGCGCTTGCAGTGGTGCGGTGTGAAAAGTAATTCAATAAATATGGGCACTGCGTCTGTTCCTATGACGATTTTCGTCTATTATGATATGTCTAATGCTATATTTTTCTCAGCGTCCGAACAGCCCCAATTGAGTTGTTTTTCAGAAAGCGAACAAGATGCCTTTTTGTATGACTTGTTCAATCGGCAGATTTGGGCCACAAAAAAAATAACTTGCGAATTTTTCGCGTAACTTCCAGCTGAACGCTCTCCATGTCGCCGTATAATTGGTCGATGATTGCTTTACTACTTATTGCATTAATGTCTGATTACTATCCTGAAATTGTTGATTCGGCATCATTTGAGATGGTAGGCGTGAATATATATGAATTATCTGACTTTGTCGGCTTTATTTCTCCTTAATTATCTCTTTGAAGCCAAGCAAACTCACATAAATCTTTATGTAGAAAAAATCTGAAAGCTTCTCCAATAGGTTGAAATTCAGCAACGAGCCTCTGCAACTTTTTTCATAGAATAGAATAGAGTAGAATAGAATAGACATGGTCCTTTCTTTCTCACGTCTTCTACATACGATAAAATAATGCACTCCTACCTTAGCTGAACGATGCTGTTAAACAAGTAAAAAAATGTTGTTTATCACTGAATACGATTGTGCGTTTCTATCGTTATCGATGAATTTTAAAAAACTGTAATTACCTTTGACATATGTCAATATATAAATGTACTTGAGAAAGACACAACTAACACATTTGCCCTAAAATTTAGAAAAGAAAAGTATGTAAAAAACAAGTAAGAACATTAAAGTCGGGCAACGTCAACTATTACATACTCTACACTACTTCACCTATTCGCTCCTTTTGGTAATACTACTCTAAAAAGTATGAATTTGCGTTTCGTAACAATGCCAATATGTACGCAGAAGTCCAAAAAAAAGTTAGACATATTTTATTCAAGTTTACCTACCGTTAATTTTTTTGCTGAAACCCTACTATGCATTGATTTCCATCATAAAATCTTAAAAATTAATCCTTTTTCAGACCCTACTCATGGCACATCTTATATGGAATGAGGCCAAGAAATAGATCCATGTGGTTCCAATTAGGTCCACCTAATTTTTTTATTTAAGTACTATCATAAACAAATTTTCATCGCAAAAGAATAAACAATTCCCTTTTTTGGGCTAAAAAAGGGCTTATAAGAATCTTTATATGCGCTGGTATCCATGAAATGATGGACCAACGTGGTCCAAATTCAGTAAGGTAAATTTCTTTGTCAATTTACTATTTTGAGCTAATTTTGATCATGAAATATTGGAAATTCGAACTTTTTCCCATAAAAAGTTTCCATTTTCGTAGGAACGATTCCGTAGGAGAGGCCTCAAAAAATTCTCACCACCGATCCAAACTTTTCACACCAATTTGCAATGCCGAAATATTACCACTTAGCTACTTTTGCCGAGAAAGTTTTAAAATTAAAAGTTTTCGAAAGCGTGCACCAATCCGGACCATTTTCAATAGCATTCGTTCCAGGCCCAAGGTCCAAATGTAATCGAAATATCTCAGAAATTGCGACTTGCAGCTTGAACACAAAAATACATGTATAGGCCGATGAACAGACAAACGAACAGAACAGAAAATGATTTTGTATCGATAAGTATAGTGAAAGACCTTCAGAGCGTTCCATATGTCCGCACCAACTGAATATACCCTTTATCACAAGCGACATAGGATGTAGCAAACGGAGTAAACGTATCGAATTTTACTTTGTAGTTTTTTATTCCGTTTTGTTCTATAAGTAGCCATAACTTCAATTCGAAAAAAAAAAAAAAAAAAAAATTCCTTTCAAGCTAACTTTTTGTTGTTTATATTTTATAAACATATATGTGAGAAAGTAAACGATGAACGAAAAATCTTTACTTCCTGTCAATCCTTACTTAAATATTATTGAAATTTTTTCTTCCCTTCAGTTACTCGATTACTATCAAGCGTGCGTCACCTATTATCATCAAGGTTTCGATTTGTGCAACGATTTTGATATTTTTTTTAAAACTATTACCGAAGATTTGAATGCAATGCGTTGCGAATATCAGCAGCTGGAGAAGGCGATGCAAAATCGTCACATGAGTGTAAATAGTTTCAATGACTCGAACACGAACAGTGCTTCGAATAAGATCGAGGGTTATTTATTCAAAAAGAAATCGAAAGGATTTAAGACTTGGTGCCGTCGTTGGTTCTATCTCAGCGATAACCAATTAGTGTACAGGTGAGTTTAGTAGAATATTATTGCGCTTTCAAATTTTAAATTAAATATTAAATATACTTGATGAATTTTATTATCCCGAAAAAAAACTTACTCTGGTCTGTTGTTTTCTTTATACGTATGTGAGCAGCGTGATTGTCCTTTGTATTTGAATTTTATATTAATAAAATAAAATAAAATAAAATAAAATGAAATAATAAAATTATTATCATCAATTTTTTCGTTTGGCTTATGTTCAACTTTTGAATTTGTATTTTGTATGTTTTGTGTCTATTGTTGATTTGATTTGTCTTATGTGATTGTGTGTGTTCTGTAACGCTGAAGTGATTTGGATTCGAATTGCAGAAAACGCTGTAACGAGGACTCATTCTCCGTGATGGAAGAAGATTTACGTATTTGCACCGTCCGACCAGTTAACGATGGTGATCGCCGTTTTTGTTTTGAAGTTATATCACCCGCGAAGTAAGATTAATAATAATAATTGAAATCGTGAAAAGAAAAATGCTCATCATTTCATATGTCGTAGGTCTCATATATTGCAAGCTGATTCAGCTGATTTGCTAGCCATGTGGATATCGGCTTTACAGAGGAGTATAGGCGCGGCCATACAACATGATAGTCAACATTCCCGACCCCAGTCTTCGTTAAATACGAATCCGTTAAATGCCAAAAGAAAAGTGTATGTTTGTTAACTATGTGTGCTTAAGCAGAGGCACGCGATCATCATTTATTTCTTTCTTATAGACACTGGGAGCAATTCCTGAAAATTCCGGGTAACGCAGTATGCTGTGATTGCCGTGGTTCGGATCCACGCTGGGCTTCCATTAATTTAGGGATTACTTTATGCATAGAATGTTCTGGTGTTCATCGGAGTTTGGGCGTACACTACAGTAAAGTGCGATCTCTAACCTTAGACGCTTGGGAAACTGAAAATATTAAAGTTATGATGGAATTGGGTAACGAGGTTGTCAATCGGATTTATGAAGCCCGAATTGGTGAAAATTGCGAACTGAAAGCGGCTACAGAAAATTGCGATATTACCGTTAGGGAAGCTTGGATCAAAGCTAAATATGTGGAGAAACGTTTCGCGTGTCCAATGCCAAAGCCAAATGATCTATTATCGAGCGAGACTGCAGAGGTGCTCTCTATAGATAGCGCTAGTAATGATATCAGTAAGAGAGCAACACTTTCTTTAGGTGCTCCGCGAAAGTGGGCAGTTAAAAAATTTAGACGTCGAAAACGTCAGCGCTCCAGTTCAAAATCTTCCGACGATCCTATAAACGATGAAGATGAAGACGACGAATCTCTTAATATACCATCAATGTCTTTAAGTATTTCACGGGAAGACTTATTGATAATTGGAGACGAATTAAGCTTGGAAACTTATGAAGCACCAGGCATATTAGGTTCTGATCAGGAATCAACAGACGGCGAAAATGAACCGGAAATTATCGATGAAGCACTTTTTAATAAATTAGATGCAAATCTTATGTTATATAAAGCTTCAGCTGCCCATAATTTGCCGGTTATGTGTATGGCGTTCGCTTTGGGAGCCGATAAGAATTGGCGAAATTCGGAAGATCAAAATCGTACTTATTTACATCAGGCGGTATTATCGGTAAGTTGAAAATAGTTCAATTCCAATGTCAAATTTTATTTAATAAACATATACAAGGGTTCTGTTATGGCCTGCGAGTATTTGCTATTGAATGGAATACCTATTGACAGTGTGGACGTGAACGGTCTTAGTGCTTTGCATATATCTACATCGAAAGGTTATATAGCTCAGGTGTATTTACTTTTGAAACATAAAGCCAAATATGATATAGAGGCGAACGATGGTAAGAAACCTTTGGATATAGCAGTCGATCAACGTAATGCTGATATTGTTACACTGTACGTACGTCAATGTAAATTATGCTTGCGTAAATGAAAGTTTAATAATAAAATGTATTTAATATATTTGTTTAGTTTACGTTTAACGCGTCTTAACGATGAGATTGGCCTCAGCGATGAAGGCAACGGTGAAGACGAAACATATAAAGATGTTATGAAAGACTTTTCCAACTTTGCCTCTAGCCAGCCGCGTATGCTACGCAATCGTAACGATTCCAACACCTTGGAATCTCAACGTTCTTCCATGACCAATTCCGATTAAAAATTAATTCATCCAATTATCTGTATCTCTGTATTTTTCTTATGCGTATTATTATAATTGTTATATATATTTATATCATTTAAAATTAAAGCAAATGCAAGAAAAAAAAATCAGTCATTCATATTAAAATCATTCTTAAATGTTTAAGGTGCTTTAAGATATATAGTGCCCAGTTAAGAGGGCATGTTTAATAATAATATTTTAAGTGTAAATTAAGCTAATTTTGTAATTTGTTATTAAAAAAAAATAACGTTCACACAATTTATAATCTGTCATAATAATTGTTAAATATCTCGTCAACTTGTTTTTTGTTGTTATATTTTATTATCATTGTCTTTTTTGTACAAAAAAAATTATATCGAACATAAAAATTCTTTATTTTGTTTATTGTTTCTCAAGTAATTTTCGTGTCTGAAAGAAAAAAGTATTCTCAATAGAAAGAAAGAGAAGAACTTGTTCAATTAAATAGTTGGTAATAAATTTGTCGTCGAAACTAAAACTAAACTCTATAAAACTATGTACGCCTTGCTTGTTGATGTATATTAATTATTCTATTCATATGAAATGACCCTTAAGAGAAATTATGTAATGAATCTGCATTAACGAATGCAATGCATAAAAATTTGCAAATTAAATTATTATTATGTAAAAGAAAATCTTGAAAAACAAATTTGTTGAAAATTATATAATTCTATATAATAAACAATTCACATTTAGTACATTAATAATAACTTACCGATTTATATAGAATGATAATAAACGAAAGGTACTCTCTCTTTCTCTCCCTCTCTCTCTTTTTGATTTAATTTGATGTTGAAGGACTGGCTTTAATAGTTGTATCATTATGTATTTTGATTATATGCCGTCTAACCGAAGAACGGTCGCCAAATGTACGATTACACTTGGAGCACTGAAAAGCTACACCGTTGTGAGTAGCTAAATGTCGACTTAAGCCCGACGCGTGTATAAAACGTTTTGGACATAGATGACAACAGTATTGCTGAACACGCGGCTGTTCAAGATGATGGCGATTAACGTGTTGCGTTAAATAGAGTCGTTGTGAAAACGATTTCTCACAGTGCGGACACGGATGTGGTTTAAGATCAGTATGCGTAAATTGATGACGTTTCAATATTTCTTTTTGACTAAACGATTTTCCGCATTCGCCACATTTGAAGGGCTTGTGTGCCGAGTGTGCAACCATATGACGTTTTAACGCACTACTACACGACAATACTATTTGACAATCAGGACACTGATAGCTAATGCCAGTTAGCACTGTTTTCTTGTGCACTTGAGCATGTCTTTCCATTGAGGTTTTCGTTGAAAATGCCATTGGGCAGTCTTCGCATTTAAATGTTTTTGCCGTATTAGTGATGGAGTATCTTAATGGTTTACTGTACGTCTTCGTTAACATAGTTGTATGGACTGTTGTCGAGGTAGTCGTTAACGTAGACGCACAGCCCGTAGTGTTTCTACGTGCAATTGATGTCTTGGGGGTGCTAGTCGTCGAATCCTTTCTAATTTCTGCATTCTATAAATTGATTCTTGATGTTTTTGAAAGTAAATACAAGTATATTCGAGCCGTTACCTCTTTCTTATGGCATAATTCATCCATATCCATAAGAGTGACATTTTTTTCATTTGTTCCTTCCGGAAAGTCAATAGTTATAACATTATCTTCATTAGCTTTAATTAAAGTAGTTACGCCGGAAGACTTTTTGAAAAACACTATTTCTCCATTGTCATCGTCAACTATGAAGATGAGAAGAAACTTACTACATATTTATGAAATGAAAAAATGATTTACTTTGATACGAAGTGGTGGCATGCTGAGTATCATCATTATTGTCCGTTTGCTCATCATCCGTTGTCAAATTTTGATAATCCTCGTCTGGATTTGTGAGACTATTCTCTTTAATCGCAGCTACGTCGTCTGGACTGCAATGTTGATCATCTCCAGCCATTAGTTCATCACGATCATCATAATTGAAATATTCAGTTTCACTTTCGGTGTCATCTCTACTACTACTATGGTTAACTGGTTCGTTGTTATGATTGATCTCGGTTGACGAATCCGATGTTTCGTTTTTAATTAAATCTTCTTTTTCAATATTATTTTCCGTTTCGACTTTCAGAATTTCAAAAGTCGGGGAATTGCATTTGTTTAAAGCGGACAATCTAATTTTATGTGCATTTGAGACAGGTGTGGGGTTAGATCGCTTTCCCATCTCGCATATGCTGACTTGTATGTCTTCTTGAAATTCTTGGTCTTTTGTTAGATCCTTTCTTTTATTTAGAAAGGACTGCAACTCGTTTAGAAGAGAATTCACTTCCGTTTCTCGACACTGCTTTATGACTTCCTCTCGTACTTGGTCTCTAGCTTCTTTTAAACATTCTTGCTGCAATTCGCCACGTGCACTTTCGAATTCGATTTGCAATTTATGTGTTATCTTTCTCTCCAATTCGTCCTTGCATTGCTTTTTGAATTGCTTTTTAAATTTACACAGTTCCAATTCGTGCTCCTGCTTCATTTTTTGCTTCCAATCTTCGTATTTTTGTTCCTCCAACTTAGCCATTTCTTCCTCCTCTCTTTTTATAAATTTCAAAGAGTCCTCAAATTCAACTTCATCGTCATCATATTCATCATCATCCTTAATGAACACTTTACTAATCTTGCCCATATTCAAGAGGCGTATATGTTTGCGCAATTTGACATCAGCTGCTTGGCTGCGTTTGCGAAAATAATATGACTTTTCCAACTGATAGCGACATGGGGAACATATTTTTTTAGGTAATTCGTCAGAATTTCGTATCTCCAAGGCAGCACAAGCCATTATGCGCATCGATATAGATATATTTCCAGCTAGTTTATGGGCTTCTTTTGCTGTGGGAAATATAGGTATTGTGCCCTCGCTCTCCTTTAAACACAAACGACAAATTGTTTCCATTTGTGGATAAGTCACTTCCACTGATTGCGGTTTCATTTTAATTATTAAATTAAATTTTAAAAAAGCAAATATTCTTTAATGCACAACAAAATCCAGGCGCAAGAATAAAATCCACAGAATTATAAAGCAACGTTGCATTTAATGCCAATTTTTTTACCTATTTGCAATATAGATTCCACATAAATATTCTCAAACCGAAAATTGTTACTTCTGGCAACATTTAGCACGGAAGATAGAAAAAGTGTAACAAAGCAAAACTGATAAAATTACTTTTAAAGCTGTAACAAAGACCGGTTGATTAGTTAATTAACAGCAAAATATAGTGTAATTTAAGTAGATTTGTTTTTAGTGTATACATACATATACATATAATACAAAGATAAATATACGGGGAAAGCAATATCTAAAGGTAAAAAAGAAACTTACTTCGAAACGTCGAAGTCACTGCACGGCATTGATTAAACAAATAAAGAAGTTTAATTTCCGGTTAATTGCATAAAACATTTTTGCAATATTATCTATCTACTTCGTGAACTGTGTTGGTACAATTGTTTTTTACTTTCTAATTTTCAACGTCATCGCAAATCATGATTATGTATAACAGCCACCAGTTGATTCATAAAAAATTGATTTCTATATCGCAAAATTTTTCTTCACTTTTTCTGCAATCAGCTTTCTTTAGTAACATATGCACATTTTATATATTGCCTTCCATGCCAAGTGTATGTTGAATAAACATTTTTCCATATGCCACGAGATAAGGATCTTATTTGCTTTTAATTGAACGTCAAGGAAAAAAAATGAAAGAGAAATGCTTTCAAGGACATGGTATCCGTTAGACAAGAAGAAAAAGTAGAAATTTGACACTTGGAACAAATCAAATTTGAAAATGGCATTGAACTCTAGTTTCGACCGTGTCCCGTTTAAAAAAAAGTGACAAAAGCTCCGAAGAAAATAATGGTAAATTACTTAAGAAACTTCTGATGTACGATTTGTTTCGAGCGTTCACTGGAACGGGCTAGAATGTATGCATATGTTTTTCTTTTAATATTCGCTGTAATAAGTTCGCTTACCGTGCTCCATTTTCTAAAATCCTTTTAATTCGTTCGAAGTTTTGAATATCTTAAAGTCACTTCGCGTATTGAATGTTGTAGTCGACGTATATGGTTATTATTTAAGTTTGCGAAACTAAGTAATTTGATTGTTTCTTATTAAGGAATTTCAAAAATACAACTTGAGAATTTAACTTGATTAACTTTTTCTTAAGACATCTCTCCTTTCAAGCTTATCGCAGTATTCTTAAATTCTATTCTGTTATATTTTTGAATGAGCATTTTTTTAAAAAGATAAAAACTAATATCTTAATTTTTTAGGAAACTTTGACAACATTGATTGCTTTTGGGTTGATCAATCCTAAGGAGAGTTTCATAGCGTCCTCTCCTCAAGTCAGCGATCACCTTATTACAAAATATAACGGCGCATGTTATATTCTTCTTTGCTTCATATACACGCCGAGGCAAGGGGTAGAAAATGTTTGTGAAATCATTTCATAATAGATCATCTATCAGTTCGATGTTTATAATCATTATGAATTTGTTGATTGAGCAATATTTTGCAAGAGACATATATATATATATAAAGACATATATATATATGTATATATAGGGCTGGTGTAATTAATGCAAATTTATTTTCGCGCCATCAAGATATTAAAAATTCCTTAACATATACCAAATGTTAAACAATAATCATCGACTATTGGCAAAATAACAACAAACATCTTATTCTATAATAAAAATTTGACATGAAGATTAAACGTTTTATTTGTTACCGTCAATCGTATAAATGCTCAGATATTCAGCGACTATAGAAATGTGTTGTGTTCTTATCTAGAGGAGGAGTACTCTTTCAAATATAATACAAATTAAATAACTACCTCATCAACATCGTCATTATCATTGTAATGACCGTGTATGTACCTATGTGTGTGTGTGTGTGTGTGTGTGTTCGTTCGTTCGTGTGTTCATCCTGTCTTTAATCTGAGTATGAATAAACAGACAAATAATCTGTACTAGATGAGCATTTGATTTGAAATAGAAGCTCATTGCAAGTGTAATGAATTTGTTTTGTTGCTATTTTATTAAAGAAAAATGAAAAAAAATCTATGAATTTCACTGGCAATAACAAGAGATTTTAGTTAGTTGTGTTTAAAAAGTGTAGTCGAGGCGCTGTTAAGCGGAAAAACGAAACAAAAAAAAAGTACAATTTTTTTAATAAAATATTTGTTTTCTTAATACTTAATAACTTAAAAAGACTTGAAAAATTTAGGTACAATTTCTTTATGATATGAAAGTGAGTCCAGAAATAAAAGCAAAAAAAAAAAAAAAAAAACTGATTTTTTGTGGCATCACATTTGTTGATAAAAGCAATATTTTTACAGCGTGTTATTCTTATGTACTCACAATGCTTAAAAAGATTGTTTTTGTATTCATAATTACTTCCTGTTCCATTTTATAGTCTATGCTATACAATTAAGAGCTGATATAGAAGAAGGTCAAGCGATGATGTGCAAGCTGATTCCAATGTTTCTCAACATTAACGCATAAATAGAAATATTGGGCGGTTGAGCGTCCGTCGCTTCATGAGCTGAACTAATGCTACACATTTCGGAATATCAGAATAAGCCTACGTATGCGACCATATGGCGGAGACAGTTTCATTTTTAATTCTTAGGTTATGATTTAAAGACAACGAACTTAGTTTAGCACGATGTAATATATAATTATCAGTGCACTCGTTACTATTATTTTAGTTAATCATAATTAATTGGGACTTTGAGTTGTTTATGTTTTTAGTTCAATTTTGCAAAAGTATAGTTATACCAATAAAGGCGTAGCGTAGGAATAAACGTACCTTATCAAGTGACAATGGCTGCAAGGAATATTTACAAAACTAAACCAATAAGGAAACTCTAGTTGACCAGACCATCTGTCCGTATGATGATTCTTTACTTCCGTTTCTTATTAATGAAAGCGAGGTAAGCCGGGACGTCATGGACATCCATGAAACTCTATGATTTATCTAATCCGTAAGGTGATCTTTTACGCTTTGGATATCGCAGTACATCCACTGGTCATTATCCGCATTGTTCAAGCAGGGAAAAGTGACTTCCCTATGTTTAATGTGTTTTTAATGAAAGGTCTTTTTTTTTCCGTTACATCGGGATGTATTATGAAATAATAGTACAATGAAAAATTTCTCCAATCTTGTGTCCAGTTAAATTCCGATTTGGAAAAAGATAAGACAACTTATCTGTTATATGAGATGGCTCGTCCAGCGGTCAACTTGAAATTCTGAGTTGATTTACCGACATATTTTTGGTTTACGCTCCCAGTCATAAGATATTGATTTGGGAAGCTAATGCGGTTGTTTATCTTACCGCATGTCCTCTGTAAAGCTTATCATTCGTTGTTTTCTTCTTCCACAAAGATTGGCACAAATAATCGATAATCTTTAATGATTCATTGTTCATGGTGAGCTATTGCTCTCGTCTTTAAGAAATTTAAATTATGCAAATATTTAAAGCCTCCATTTCGAAAATTTTAAATTTCGTTTCTTAAGTTTCTTTTTTAGAAAAGTCGCTTAACTTCTTTTAAGTGCATCGGAGGACATAAAGAAAGTTAAAGAAGAAAACAAGTAAAAAGACTATAGTGGGCCACGGCGCGTCATCAAATATCCTATACCACTCTATGTTTATTCCAAACATGGAGTTTTCAAAATAAGGGGATCGGGGGAAAGTGATCGAAAAAGTGGTCTCATCGGAAATATTTTGATTAGGTTTCGTGCGGCTTGTACGTTGAAGATAAGCAAACAAGATAGTCCGGCAAGCTTGTACCAATCAATCGGTGTATATCAAGTCCTTCTGGGTATTCAGTACTATAAGTGGCGTAGGATTAAAAAAAAAGGATATTAATATCAATTTTTTAAGCTAAATGGCTACGTGCTGATCATCTGATGATTGCTTCACTACGTCAACAAAGATTTTTCAATTCTAAGGAAATTTGTATATTTTTTTAAATCCATATTTACTTGTTTATTTATATATATATATATATATATATATATATATATATGCACATACTCATAAAAATTTTTTCTTATTTTCTTAAGCGTTTGCAGAAAAGAACGTTGTAAATAGAAATTATGCCATTACAATCGGTAAAGTATGCACCCGGGAAACTGGAAATTCTTGATCAACTATTGTTACCAGTGCAATCCAAATATTTAGCTGTTAAAGGTGTTGAAGATGGTTGGAAAGCTATTAACAAGATGCAGGTGAGAAACATACCGAAACTCATTTACATCCCAATATATTCTAACTCATTGTTACCGCATTTGCTAAAAACATTGTTAACAGTGTTTTTTCTTCAGTTTGTAACTTATTAGCAGCGAGTGCAATACCTATGATGTTGAAGTTGTAAGAAACGGTAATGCTTACAGATAATCAGAAAGGCGAGTAAGAGGAGGCACGGTAGAGTTGATTCAAAACCTCCCACATATCAGGCACTTTCCAGAGTTCTAGAGCAAAAGCGTATAATAATTACTTTCTACGTTTACTCAAAGTAAGCACTAAGATCTTAGGTTTCCAAAAGACTTGTAAAATATTTTACACCTTCGAGCGGACTATATGTTGATGTCTCTTTACTCCTTTTTTTAACTTCCTTTCGAGTATTACAACATAATTAGCCCGAGTTTATTTCAGAATCCGCCATCTTATCGTATTTTATGAAATGGAATTATAAACATACTTCTCAGAGAACGTTTACATGTGCGTTGAGCCTGAGTTGCATTGAACTCAACGGTACTTTTCAGCTTACGCTCCCTATGGACATAGGCTCTGCTTTATTTCGTCGTTAACTTAGAAAGCATGTATATTTTTTCTTTTATTTACAAGTACCGTTACAATAATAAACGCCAGTCTATTCATGTAGTCTGATACTTTCCGTGTAACATTATAAATTGTTTATCATTTATTAATATTCACGCCTGCATACTATACCCGAAAAATGCAGTATGACAAATGTGTTATCTCCGTTGTAACACTCAACAATACTTAGCGGATAGCCCATAGAAAAAATATATAATACCTTCGATTAATGTAAAATTCTGAGTCAATCTAGCAAAATTCGTTCGTCATCTCTCGCAGAGATAAACTTAGAACGAAATACGAAATTAGACACGGTACGCCAAAGTTCAGTTATTAAGTAATTGCAAGTAGTAGAGATCTTTAATAGATTACGATTTCATAGTTTATGAATAATTTTTAATTGTAACCTTTAGAATTATTATTCATTTGGTCGTTGAATATTCGCGATTCAGACTAAGAGTAACTTCCAAGTAATATCTAGCTATGCAAAACAAAATTAGTCCAACTTTTTACGAGAAACTTTGTAAAAAAATATCCGAAATTATCAAATATATTTTCATAACATGATCTCATCATTATTACATTTCACCAAATTTGTTTAGTATCGTCTATTATCGTATTGTACCCCATCATTAGTTTTGTCAATTAATTTGTGCATCGAAGCTACAAAGAAGCATTACAGTTACATTCTGGATAAACGATGATATTACGAGTCCATTTACCTAAATCCATTTGGTCTGAGAATGTGTCGCAAAACATGAGGTAAAAATTTCGTAAGTTTAGCAAATCGATCAAGTGAACCATTAGCGAAAGCTTGATGATGACTTGGAAATATATTAGAAACGAATCTCTTGCGGAATCTCTTAGTGATATATAGCAGAGAGAGATATATGAAATTGTGTACACAAACATTGTAGGAGAGAGGAGATAGCATATGCTTCGACGAATTCTAATATTTTTTAATGCTTTTTTGTAAACTTAGTTATAAAGCAATTTTTTTAATTATTCTTAAGTGTTTACATCTCTATTTAAAATATCTCAAATGTATTTTAAATATTTTACAAACAATTATGTCATAGCTTTTAGAGAAATATTTTTGAAATTCTTGCAAAATTATAGCGCCTATCGTTCGTTGGTTGCTTAAACAGGCAAAAAAAAAAATCTTTAAGTTTTTGCAAAACAAAAACACTTTTTAGAAATGTGTCTGCGTGTGCAATACAGATGTGATGTGATGCAGGTTCGAAATGATTTTAAACGGTTTGCACTACAAGCGATTTAAAATAATTCATTTAAAAATTTAATTAGTCAACAAATAACAATTTCATACCAGACAGCTAGACAGACAAATATATATATATATACATATATATATATATATATATATGTCTGCATATATATATGTATACACATTTCTCAAAAGCAATGCTTTTCATGTTGGCTTTCACTCTCAGACGAAGACAGCGCGTTTTTCTAACAGCAAGCATCGGCGATGACATGACAGACAAACGAAATCTTCTTAAAATGCTTAACAGCTTTACAGCTAGGTATTTAGAAGACAATGAATCGTTTGAGGAAATTAATGATTTTCATTTTGAAATTTTGAAAAATTAATATAAATGTCTTGGCCAAAAAAGGGAGGTTTAGCTGCGCATAGAAAAAGTTGTCATATATCATATGACGCTAAAGTATCAAGATAAAAACCCTAAATAAAACAAGTGCATCATCATCATTTCGGTTAAGAAAAAACACACACAACGGAGCGAAATTGTATTAAATCGTTTGGAATTTTTGAAAGATTTCATCCTTGTTGCCATTAAAGTCACATTCGCAAGAGCAGCTCAGCTTAACGATTGCAATTCACGCCTGAATATATCGAGAAAGATGAGAGTTTTCATCGCAAATCCGTTCAAATTGGAATTAATGGCTTAATGATTAAGTAGTGAAATTGTTGCATTTACTTAAACGAAATTTTCAAATCCTTATATGAATGGCGAATAAATCTGAGAAAGTTATTTGATAGCAACCATTTAAAAAATCTATTCAGAAATTGATAAGCGGATACGGATAAACGGAAGCTTTATATCCATAGGTGAATAAATGGTGAGAATCTAATGTATTTTTGCGCCTAGACTTCGATAACGAAGCCACGGCGATTGGCGAGGATGTTTAGAAAAAGCATCGATTGACTCTACAAAAAATGCATATATTTACATAATCAACGCATCGAAACTTATATCTTTTGATAATCGATTGATAAACCTGCAGAAAATTCCCCGCAAAAATGAAAAAATCTTAATAAATCGAATTTACATCAATTTTTGTTACAACAGGGCATTACATTACTATCTTCAATAAGGGATTTTGGATAACTTCGTTTTTTTATTAATTTGTTGTTTTTCTTTTTTGTTTTAGGTACGTGGGGCTCCAGCTATCGCTATAGTCGGTTGCTTGTCATTGGCCGTTGAAATATTCCCAGACACATACGATTCGAAAAAGACATTGCGTCAAGAAATTGAAGGAAAACTAAACTATTTAGTATCAGCCCGTCCGACAGCGGTCAATATGAAAATTGCCGCAGACGAACTGATAGCATTAGCCAATGATTTAACCAAAGATGACAGTATTAATGTTGAGCAAATGAAAGAAAGGTATGCGTATACGTATTGTGTGTTAGCGTTATACAATTACGTTACGTTATGATAATGAAAAATAATTTTTTTTTTTTTTTTATATTTAGATTTTTGGCTGCGACTGAAGCGATGCTCCAAAAAGACATAGACGACAATAGGGCTATTGGTGCTAATGGAGCGTCTATTATATTGAAAAATCTGAAAAAAGAAGGACCCGTACGTATATTGACGCACTGCAATACGGGGTCATTAGCGACTGCCGGCTATGGAACTGCTTTAGGTGTTGTTAGGAAATTACATGAATTGAAAAAATTAGGTATTTAAAAATTGGCGATAGTGTGATTCACTTGCTTGCATTCTTTCCCCTTATTTCAAAATTATATTTTACACATTTTCACAAATATTTTTGCTCTCATATTGATATTGTACGCATGATTGATGCTAATTGCAGAGCATGTCTATTGCACGGAGACGCGTCCCTACAATCAAGGAGCACGCTTGACAGCCTACGAATTGGTACACGATCAACTTCCGGCCACATTGGTGTTGGACAGCATGGTGGCGGCATTACTGCGTGCCAAAAACATAGCCGCCGTCGTCGTGGGAGCAGATAGAGTGAGAATTTTTTTTTTTTTTTTATTTTCAGGCCGTAAAACAATTCATTTAAATTCGAATACAATTTTTTTTTTTGTTTTTTTTTTTTGCATTAAAGGTCGCCGCAAATGGTGATACGGCAAATAAAATTGGCACTTATCAAATAGCTGTTATTGCCAGACATCATGACGTACCATTCTTTGTGGCTGCTCCTTTAACTTCCATAGATTTGCAAATACCCAGCGGTGATCATATTATCATTGAAGAGCGGCCAGATCGCGAAATGACTCATGTCGGTGAGCATAGAATAGCTGCACCGGGTATTAACTGTTGGAATCCTGCCTTTGATGTGACCCCAGCCTCCCTAATCAGCGGTATTATTACTGAGCGTGGTGTATTCAGTCCTCAAAAACTGAAATCGGAAATTACCGCTTTCTTGGAAGCGTAATTGCCTTCTTTTTTTTTTTTTTTTTTTTCTCTTATAGAATTTTTTTCATTACAATTAAGCTTAAAATTTTTCCATATTCTTAAACTGAGATAACTATTTCTCCCAAAAATTTCAAACAATTAATTATATAAGATCTGTACTACATACACATATAACTGATATGAACTTTTTGTCAAAAATCTTCGGCTTCTTCTTTGTATTATTTAAAAATACAAGCTTCTGTTGACAAATACAATAAGCTTTTGATTGAAAGGAGTCTTTTCAGAAAGTGAAACAGGTGAGAAAAATACAGTTGGCATGGGGCGAACGTTTCAACGCACACCACTAGCCCAGTATACGATACTTGATCATAAATTAGAACGAAACTCCATACACTTGATCTATTCTCCGCATAATGTGGACGTTTTTAATCATTTTTTTACAAATGTCTCCTTATATCGAAAGAAGGAAGACTTTTCAAAAATTATGGGCAATTTCTTGAGTTTGAAAAATTTATAAATTTTGCTTGCACGGAATAAACACAATCTTAGACCATAAATAAAAGATCGTGCAACTCATAACAAAATTCATTTATTTGGTCTACGATCCGCATGTGTAAAAGCAATTTTTTTTCGCCTCTCTTAGCGATGTGGAGTAGTAAAATTGATGGGTGGTTCATTGACCCTTTATTCATTTTTTTTTTTTTTATGAATAAAGCAAATATTAACTTTCGCTATGTTTAGGCTTTTCATAAAATGTTATTTTGTTATTCCTTCAAACAGATGTTTTATAAATTGTTACTCTCAAGTGAGACTAACACTTCTTTGTGTTTCAACAACAAAATGTAAGTATAAAAGGCCGTACGTTAATTAAGATTATCATTTAATTGCTATTAATCCCGGAGATGACAATATGTCGCTATTTGGATTATTATTAGCTCTAGCGATTTTTACTAAAATGTTACTAAGCCAACGGGGTAATTATGAAATTAAAAAAAAAATTATGTTTTTTATACTTTTTCATAGCCTTACCTACCTATCTATAGTCGAAGTGGCGAATACTATACAGCAGCCTTTAAATGTTGAAACCAATTATCGCAACATGCGCTTGCGTCTTAATAAAAGCCATGTTGATGGTGTGAACGAGGGAACAGTGCGAGAAGGACGCGTAGAAGTAAGTTTTGATTTAGGTCAGTCATGGGGCACTATTTGCGGTACGTATTGGAGCTTTCGCGAAGCGAATGTAGTTTGTCGTCAGTTAAATTTGGGTTATGCCGTCTCGACAGTGCAATCGCTCACTTATGGCGATAGTAAACGATATCCTTGGAAAATGGTAGGCACTTTATGTCGCGGCACCGAAGCCAGCTTAAGGGATTGCTTTCGCGAAAAAGATTATCCAAAGTTTTGCGATTCGTCTAATACCAAACTGGCGGTTGTAAGATGCGTTGAAAAACTGTCAGACTTGAATTTGGATTTAGCAGTTACCGAGATGTCTGCTTTCTTGGATACCAGGCCTTTATCTAATCTAACATGCGCTATGGAGGAGAAATGCTTAGCGCCAGATGCATACGAAATTCGAACTTCTCAACCCGACGCCGAACGTAAACTGTTACGTTTCTCCACGCGAGCAGAGAATGTGGGCACCGCTGACTTCAATCCCTATGCAAACTATGCAAATTGGCAATGGCATCAGTGTCATGAGCATTATCATAGCATGGAAACATTTGCTACATTTGATATTTACGATAGACATTATAAGAAACAAGCTGAGGGTCATAAAGCTTCGTTCTGTCTTCGCGATACTGGTTGTAGGACGGGTATAACACCGCGATATACTTGTGGCAACGTGACTCAGGGCATTACAGTTGGTTGCTGGGACACGTACAATACTCAACTTGATTGTCAGTGGCTCGATGTAACAAATTTAGCAAAGAACAATACTTACATATTACGTGTAGCGCTTAATCCTGATTATCTAATCGGCGAAATGTCTTATGAAAATAATGGAGCTGAATGTTTGCTATATTATACGGGCAATCAATCGACTACAACACTATCCCAATGTGTGAGGGCGCCTTTATGGTTTGCTAATTAAAAAAGATATTTTCCAAATCGATTTTCCAAAAAAGTTCTGAAATTGAATAAATGAAGTCATTTTTTACTTTTTGAAATATTTTTTTTATTATTTAGTTATTCTCTTAAACACAGCATTTCTTCGTACGTACGTAATTATGTAATTGTTCTTTCATGTTTTATAATACAAAACTTCTATGCCTTTAAATTTGATATAAATACAAATATATTTTAATTCTTCTTCATCTTCTCGCCGCGAGAAGTTTAAAAAAAAAAAAAAAAAAAATTGTTTTTGACCAATCAAAGAGACACTTTTAACTAAATCCAAGTTAAATCTGGAGATAATATTTGCAAGGTTAGCGAGGAAAACCCATTATCCTACTCATTACTTTCTATTCATGTCTTCTGGGAGATCTCTGTAGAGCGTTTGCGTCAATTATGTGTAGAAAGTGCAGTTATTATCACTTAGCTATTCTATCTATCTTGATCTATGCGTCAGATGAGGTCTTTTCGAGGTTATGTTTTGATATATTTTTTATTTATTTTTGAGATTTTAACTTTTCAAATCCTACTTACTATCATAGAAAATTACCGACCTCACGAATATTTATTGTAAATCGGTTCACGACCATTTTATTCTAAAGTGCGATCCTTACAATCTCTTAGATATGCAAAACATACGGAACTCTTATGAAAAAAAAACCAATCCATTCACATTACAGTTTTCCTGCATCGTTTAGATGCATCGGCAGATGCCTGGAATAAGGCCTGAGAGTATTGCTCTCGCCGTACATAGCATTATAAAATTTCCCAATTTATCGATTGCGTCTCATTGTCCGAAGATGGAACTATTTACTGAAAAACAGTGCAGTCTCGGAGGAACGATTTGCACCAGTTGCCTAAAAAGGCCAACTTCTCGATCGATTTATTGAAACAAGAGATGGGTGAAGGATGCTTCACGGTAGATATTCATTTGAAGGATAAGAATCGACATTTGGTGTGCACTGTATCTTAGTTACCTAATCACATTTTATTCAGTTTTTACCTCATTGGAACGATATAAAAATGATCAACAAACGTTTATTCAGAATTTCACTATATTCCTTTGGCTTTTAATATATTTTGTATAATCTTACAATAGGCCACGGTCTGCAATTAAACACTTCGCGTAATTTATAATATATTTAAGAACCGCATTTATATACTATATAAAAGGACCTTTCACGATGTTTGGATAGTGGTCGAAAAAATGGTCTGACCGGAATCATTATCGGTAGACTTCACGCCAGAGTATAAAATTTCATCCTGTAGGCTTACACAAGAATGTATGGCGAATAGACGGACAGATAGACAGACAAGCATAGATCTAATAGAAGGTGGTGTATCTCAAGTCGTTTTTCAAGTCCTTTCGTCTGTTATACGCATATGTACAACTACCGGTGCTGAGTATAAAAAGGAATTTATCTTATTATTAGCATTCATCACTTAGTGTAAAAAAATATGGATTGCTATCCATCGACTGGGAGAAGTTTTACTCAGTTTTAAAGTTTAACGCAAACGAACGGACAAACGGAAACTATTGTGGAGTTTTACTGCCTTTCAATAATCAATTCAACCAATTTCTGTAAAACATTAATTGCACCGATTTCATCTAGAAATTTTACTATATAATTCACTCAGATATAGCGAAAGAGAGTGTGGAGTGTTACAAAAGAGATAATAAATGGTAATTAATCGCTCATAGTTACAGCCCTGCTCTGAGCACCATCGCAGACACAAGTCACAAGTAATGAGGCTTCTATGCTTTCTATGCTTTCTTTGACCTAACGCACTTCATTCGTAATGCAATTTATACTGAAGAGTTTGTTGTGACTATTGCTCATGGATATCAAAATTGAAATAAAATCACCAAAAACTATGACAAGCAAATAAATGCTTTTCTCTTATAACTGCTGAGCAGTCGCAACAGAATGCGGTCATAAGGCGGTTTTTTGTAAGGGTTTTAAGTGGGAACTGTTTCGCTTCCGAATTCCAAGCTTTAAGAAATACATACTTCCTTACCTTCATTGTAGCCCCAATATATTTTTATTTTCAAAATGCAAATAAACAGGCGGAGATATCATTTGTCCTATCTGAGAAGAGTTGTATTTTCTAAAGATTTCTATTCGCCTCGATTACTACTTGATAAAATTTTATATATATCCTTCGGTGAGAATAACGATATTATCTCATTAAGTAACGGGGGATAAATAAAAGTTTATATGTGAAGAAGTTGTAATTTATTCTCGATTCGCGATACAATTCGTTCGAAAAATTTTTTATGCATCTTTTATTTTTCACTTATCATTATTGACTACATCACTAAACATATAAATTTGCACAAAAAAAAAAGGACTTGTTCTTTTCTCCTTTTATATGTTTTACAATTTTTTTTAATCATTTTTGTTGAATTATATTTAATATATATATGTATCTATATACATATATATTTATATATCGTTTAAAAGGCGTAAAAAACGTTTTTGAAATGATGAGAATTTTATGAAAAGAATTCGTTTTGTGCGCCGAATAATGCAATATTTGTCATATTGTTTAAAAAGATAAAGAAAATTAATTTTCTTAATATATCTTGATCATAACATATCGTGTATCGTATATATTTCAAATTACGTCTGTTTGTACGATTTGGCAGTACTTTTTAGGTAATTGAACAAACGAAAGATCATACTTGCATATGTCTGACCCATATATATATATATATATATATACATATATTTTTATATATATATATTTGTCTAAAGTTTTGTGATCATTTTGAACAATTTAGCTGAATTTCAGATTTGACAAGAGGATTTTATCAAGAAGTAATTTAATATGCAATATAAGCTTGAAAGGGAATTTGACATCTTTACTTTAGGAATTGTTTTTTTTTTCTTTTTTTTTTTTTTTTGGTTATTTTATACAAATTCATGGATTAATTTAGTCGCTTTTTGAACTTTAATAATTGATGTAAGCGATAAACGATAAGTAAGAATTTAAGGTTAAGTTAGGTTTTATCCAGAGAAAGATGCAAATATCAAAGTGAAAAGCGATGGACAGACGAACAGAAAAACGGACAGAAATTGTTAAATCGATTTTTGCTATTTACGCTGATCAGGAATATATATATGTATACGTATACAAACTTTATGGAGTCTTCATTGCATATTTTTAGGCTTTGCATCTATTTATTTGCAAATCTCTCCGCGATGTGTATAAAATATGTTAGTTATACCCTTTGTACTTTAAGGTACGATATCAAGTTTTCTCTTTAAAAAGTTTTCAACACAATAACAAAAACAGTATTAATGTAATGTAAAAAAAAAAAAAAAAAAAAAAACAAAAAAAAAAACAAAAAATAATTATAAAAAAGGAAATTTGTGCGAGATTTTCAAAGGATTTTTTTGTATGCTTCAACAACAAATAGATTAGTTAAATATAATCGAAAATATCAAAAATATTTCAAATTTATTAATAAATAGACATAACTCGTTAAGTGAAAACATTGGAACACATGTTAAGGTTTTTTTTCTTTTACTTGTGCTTCTGTTTGTTCGAAAATATTTTTTTTCCAATATTTATGCAATTAATAATTAATTATCTTTTTAATCATTATTATTTGTTTGTTATTGTTATTTTTTTTTTTTTTTTTTTTTGTTTATCTTCTTCGTCTTCTTTCTTATTCTTATTAATTATAAAGTAACACATGCTTTAAAACGTGCTTTATTATAGTTTCACTTTTCTAATATAGTATATAGTATATAGTATAATTTATGCCTAATACGTATGTGTATGTGCTTTAGTTAAGTTTTTGTAGTTTTTGTATAGTTTTCTTTCTTATGAAGAAATTGTTTATAAAGAAAATAAAGTCTTTTTAATTTCATTAAAATTAAATATGATACATATGTAAAACGAAGAAATTATTTCAAAAAATTTACAAATAAAGCCAAGTTTATATAAAACACATGATGTGCGAAGGATCGCTTAAAACGATGCGCAAAGAATATATATATATATGTGGTATGAATATGACCAAAAAGCTTCCTTTTCGTGTTTGTTAGTTAATTAATTAATGTCCCTACAAGCTCGCTCGCTCACTCACCCTATAACCTAAACGCACTCACACAAAACACAAATACACATAAACGCCCGCACACACACATAAACACACACACATATACTCAATTTCTAGAAGAGATAGTTACATGCTTACTATGGAAAGGCTATTAGGATTTCTAATGCCCGGCTTATGTTAGGGTACGTATAAACTTCTAGACCTCTACTAAAGTAGTTTTAGTTTAACAGCTTTTTTTTTTTATAATCAGCATTATGAACTATTCACACATTAGATCAAAAAATATAATAATGACTGGTTTTGATCATTTTAGTTATGTTTTAATCATTTTATCAGCTTTCAACTGTGGTCGACGAAACACTATGACTAGCAGCTAATAAATGTTCAGGAATGGGTATCGGTTGCGTTCGTGCCGGTTGTTTTTTCTGTATAATGTTAAATTAAAAACCAAAAAAAAAAAACAAAAAAAAAAAGAAGAGGAAGAATAATAAAAAGAAGAAAATTTTCCTTAATGAAATTTCAATTTTCTTTTAGTTTTAAACTTTACCTTTCTTCTAAATGGAAAACAACCGGCCTTGTCGGGTATTGGCGCAGCATTCAACTGTAAATCTGGCGTGGGACTATCATCAACAGCAAATGTATTCAATTCTCTAAAGCAATCAGTTTCCATCATTTCATTTTGCCATGATATCGATACGGAACCGGTATTAAATTTCGTATAAAAATTTGAATCCGATTCATCGATATTCACCCCCTTTACCGTAGAGAATTGTTCAATATCCAAAACGTCTTTGGCATACACAGCATGAGGCTAAAACAATTAAGAATAATTTAGATAATAAATAGAAAGGTGTTTTTAAGTGATTTACATCGGGCATAAATGGTGGTTCGACCATGCCGGCTTCTAAGCGTTTCCAGTTAATGCAATTAAAGAATGGATGCAATTTAACTTCACGTGCTCCATAGCGGCCATTACGACACCCTAAACGCATTTTAATTGATTTAGCTAACAATTGTTGGCATAACGATCGTGCTTCATCAATGAATTTACTCGAATATTTTTCAGGATCCTCCTGCATAAGATTAGAGTAAAAAGATTTGAAGAAATAGAACGAGAGGATTAAACGAAAAGCATTTAAAAGAACGATGGAAATTGAAAAAATTTACTTTAACTCTCCTATCCACTTCTTCTCTTTTCACTTTCTCTTTACGCATACGGAATGGTGCCTGTCCTTCAATCATTTCATATAATAAACAACCAAAACTGAACCAATCCGGGGAAAATGAGTATTTTTCGTTATCAATCACTTCGGGAGCCATATAACCTTTAAAAGATTAAAATTTTCTATTAAAAAAAATGGCAAAACAATCAAAAAAGAAAAAGAAGCAAATCTCCTTCCCCTGCAATTTATAGAATTTATATGATGAACTTACCCACAGTTCCAACACGACCTCTAACCATTTCACCTTCAATTTCGACGGCTAAACCCAAATCAGAAATACGAACATGTCCATGATCATCAAGCAAAATATTCTCGGGCTTACAATCTCTATACACGATACCCTGTTGATGTAAATGCTCGAGACCGCAGACCACCTCTGCCGCATAGAAACGAGCCCGTTGCAATTCAAAGCCGGGATCACCACCCATATTATAAATATGAAATTTTAAGTCACCACCTATTGGAAAAACCAAAAACTTAAAATGAAAATCATGCTTGAAATCATGTGACGTAATTGGGATCATTGAGTGCATCTTTTACTTCGCCTATTTTTCAATCAACATTTATTGTTTTCCAAGGTTTTTTCACTTATCTCTGCAGCAAATAAATGAAAAACTCGAACCATAGATGAATGAATGCTGAAAAAATGGCTTCATGACAAAAAAAAAAAAAAGGGAGAAGCTCAATGGGTTCCATTCAATTCAGTCATATACGTAAGTTTTAATGCGAAATCAAAGGAAGGCAAGACAGACACATTAATTGAAAAACAAACTAAATGAAAAACAAAACAAGTGAAAAACAAAAAATGTGAAAAAGAATTTAATTAAAAAATCTTCTATAGCCATAGAAATCTCAATCAGTTGTATTAGTATAGGTAATCGAACAATCAATATTCGTTATATAAATATTTTGCTCAAGTGTGGACATGAGGCTTAATCAATATTCGCATCCGAATAGTATTTGTTCAATTTTAAGTTTTAAATCGATATCTTTTTAACTACTCGTACGACAGATAGATAGGTTTTGCCCTATTTTCATTTGATACCCACTAATGAAGGACGAAGATATTTTCGTTTTGCTTGCTCTAAAGCAATAGCAATAGCTTGAGAGAGCCTAGGGACTTTTTTGATTAGCATCAAATTTTGAATTGATATAAACTTGTCCCTCTGTCCATCCTTCTGTCTCCATAATATCGACAATACACATCCTCCTCCGCGGTTTCAAATATGGCAAATGCACTGGAAGGTGGGTCAGCATTGAAGATGAATAAGATCGACCAAAGAACATGCCCGCATTATAATATATGTTGAAAATGTCTCTGTTTTTAGACGCAAAAATATTTAATTTTTCCATCATCGCTCGTAAAGACAAAAATATTCACAAATGTTTTATGGATGATGCTAGAGTACATAAATAAAAATAGCCAACGCCAGCCCAATATTATGATATATCGAAATTAGTTTTTTTTTTTTTTCTATCCGCCTGAGTGGCCGAGTAGGCAAGAGTCGCGACTAGCAACTTAATAGTCGTGGGTTCAAACCTCAAGTGCGGTAGAGTTTTTAATAAAAGCCGAAAGCCCTAGATGCTAGCGCTTTTAAGACTTTAGTCTTAGAATTTATTCTGTGGCTAAATTTATAATAATAATAATAATAATAGTTTTTTTTCTTTTCTTTTCTTTTCGTTTTTTTTTTTTTTTTTTTTTTTTTTTTCGAGGAAGGTGTGGCGGGTAGAATAGATCTCAACGAGATTGATTATAAGTTTTATTGATTTAATTTTCTACTCCGCTGTAACCAGGTTTGAAAATAGACGACAAAATCTGAGTGAAATCTTCAAGATCGAGATCAAGAATAAAAAAATAATTTATAAAATCTTCGTTGCACATAAAAAATACTGTATCCTCCGATATTAAAAAAAAGAAAAAAAACAAAATATAGAAAAGTAAAATTATCTGAAAAAAATACGAAAATGTGTCAAATAAAAAAAAAATTTGCATAAAAATTACGAAGCGAAATGACTTTTGTGTAGAATGGAATATAGAAGGAAATAGAACGTTAACGGTGTATGTAGGTGCACTTACCATTCATAATAGTTAGTACCAAACATAGGGCATCTTTTGTTTCGTATGCATAAGCCAGGTTAACAACAAATCGCGAATTGATTTTTTGCAATATTTGCTTTTCCGTTAATACCATAGATTCGCCTTTACGTTTTTTGATACGTTTCTTCTCCAATTTCTTGCAAGCGTACATTTTACCAGTAGCACGTACCTGCAAAACACACATTAACAGGCAACTGTGAAATATGAAAAGCTATCTTTAGCTTAAGGCGAATTTACATTTTCATATATCTTCACATATCTTTCTCTTCTTCTTTTCTTCCTTTTTTTCTAAATCTCACTTAAAAGAAACGAACATATGCGTTTTGGGGAAAGAAAACTTTTTGCTTTTTTTTTTTTTTTTGATATTAAACTACAAATGTGTGCTTGTGTGTGTGTAAAATTGAAGCGAATCTTTAACGTTTATTACCACAAAAACTAATCTATATGTATGGGCAGGAGACAATAGAAAAAATGTATTCAAGTCGAAAAGTGGAATAAGAATGCAATGGACAGGAGAAATATAGGGTAGTTGTTAGTAGTCTGCAAGGCTTCGAAATACTGCAAAAACTGCCTTGACATGGACTCAAGACCAGCTTGATAGAAGACAAAACGAATTCCTAATCAGATATGAAATTAAATATCGCTTAACGCTTACTGAGGGCTATGCGAGTTTGGGCTCTCATCTCTATAGTTGGGCTGCTAAGTGGACTTCAAATCTTCGAATCTATATTCGACTGAAGATCATCTGAGTGCGAGAGACTTTATCAAAATGAAGAAGTCATTGGCTATAAAAGCTAAGCGTTTGGTTTCAACGCATTTTTGAAATATTAAAACTTAGAGTCGCGCTTATCTACACTTACTTATAGTAAAGTAAGTGTCCCTCGTATGTAGTTTACTGTGCATGGTAATATAAGTATTCTTTATACATAACAAGCTGTGTAAGCTGGATCAAAGTGACTCTTTTTGGAATGTTAAAGCAAAATTGCTTAGCCGATAACCTTAGACGCTCATGCTTCGAGACTTTAGTCTTCGATTTTTCTTTCTGATAATAATATAATATATATCCAATATATTTGTCAATATCTCATTCACTCTTCACTTATCAAGCAACTATCGTAAAACGGTAATTTTAACCCCAAAAGCTTATATATATATATACGTGTGAAGTGCCTTTAATAGCTTTTGTTTCTATGACTGGCTGATGAAATTTACTTACAGTAGAACTTCATTTTTGCACATATTAAAGAAGTTAAAGAGAGTTTTTTTGACTTTGCAAATTGACATATCGCAATTCAACTGACAGGAATGAATATAAATGATGGGTTGTGAGCTTTGTTTGTTTAATACGTTTCTCAAGAGTTGTATATGCTAACCAAGCAAAAAAAAAAGAAAAAATAATTATAATTTCGTAAGAAAAATTATAAAACTTATCCATTGATGGATTGAAAATAAATATTTAACAAAACGCCGCAAGTGCTAAAGATCTGCTTGGTCAGTTGTTAAGAAAAAGATTTTTTTTTTCTTTTTTTTTTATATAAAATGTAAGGAATGCCTTGGAATTTAACATTTCCCTTAAACATAGAAGTTAGTTTTTTTTTTTTTTTTTCAATTATCTGTAACAGTATCTGTCATATCAATGCTGTGTGATAAATGATCCGGAATAAAAATGGCAAAGTGCATGATGTGCACTTGAATAGAGATAGTAGATGTAAGCAAATGTATGCATCTATGAATTTATTTAGAACAAGTGGCGAATAAAATCAAATGGTTTTTTGCTAAAAAAAAAAAAAAAAAAAAAAACGAACTTACCTGACAAGCACAGACTTCACCGAAACCACCTTTGCCTAACACTCGATACATGCGAAATGTTTTATAGGTAATGGGTTGTGATTCGAGCCATTTCCATTGAAGATAACTGCATAGAGAAACATAAAATAAATAAATTAAACAAAAAAAAAAAAACAAAAAATGGGAAAACAAAGCATAAAATGAATAAAAAATGAATAAAAAATTTGAAAAAGTCATAGAAAACATTTATAAAAATGTACTATACTCGAATTTGATTAAATTTTCTATACTTTTTTTTTCAAAATTTTGAATGTCACAAAATACAAACAATTCAGTTATAATTTTCCAATAAAATCCTCCGTTGATTAGTAAGTTGATTTTGAGAGAATTTTTTTTTGAAAAAAATGAATTAAATTTTACAAAAGTTACAAAAAAAAAAAATAAAAAAATTAAAGAAAATATGGAAATTCTGGAAACTCTGTAATATTTAAATTGGTAGATATGGTCGACTTTCTTTTATTTTCCTGCAATTACTACAGAATCGTTCATATAACATACGCTCGATCTGTTAAAGTCAACAAACTCATTTTTTTTTTTTTTTTTTTTTTTGCTCTTGAGAACAGAGATGTTCTCAGTTTATATTGTAATAAGGATATATCTTCCAACCGATAACGTCCATTTTCAATACTAACCTGCGTGGCAGAGTTTCCAATATATTTACTAGATTTGAAACCGAAATCTTTTAATTTTTTTTGCGATCAGAACAATGTTTAACATGCGCACAGACAGACAGATATACGTTCAGAATTTGATGCTAATCAAAAATGTATACATTTTGAGTAGAATCGCTTTAGTTGCATAATAAAAAGCAAATCATAATTAAAAACAAAACCCTTAAGTGTATATAAAAGTTAGCGAAATGAATGAATTGCAGTTATAAGGCAACAATGATTTTATCTAATAATAAATAATTTCCAAAAAATTTTAAATAGATATTCTGCTTACCGATGGAAGTACATTGAGTTTTCAAATTCGCGAAAGGGTTCGCCAGCTAAAAATGCTTTAACTGCGTTAACGCAAGGCTCGAAGAGTTCTTTACTGCCGCTATTGATTTTATCACGTACGCGAGCTATGAGATCATCGTTTAGCACATCCAAGACTAGTTCATCACTAGGCAAATTCTTGGAATTACCATTTAATTTTGTCAATGAAGGACTGTCAAGACCGTTGTTTCCAGCAGCATCGTCGCCACCACCGCCACCACCACCACCACCACCACCACCGCCATCGTTATAAACTATTTCATTGCAATCAACAATACTGTTATTGTGTTCATCTCCATTGTGATGTCGATAGAGTTTATGTTTTGTAGGATGAACAGTTATTGCATTGGCGGTGGTATTGTTACAATTTTCAGTCTCTACGGGCGGTAGAAAAACATACTATTAATTATAGTTTCGGGCAATGCGCAATAACGTCTCATTTAGCATTTACCATTGTTCCCTACATTTGATGCGGCCGATGATGAATGGCCGCCGTTGTTATGTGATTCTACATGTAAGGGGGGTGCCGCCTCCAAACCTAAAAATCTACGTCCAATATCATGAGCTATAGCAATGCGATGCTCGTCATATTCCACTTCATACCTGGAAATGTATAAAAAAATAATTCTATTTATGAATGAATGAATATAAGCTATGAATCATGAATCGAATTGTTTCGGGCAAGCCGTCGAGTTTGCCGCCAGTCAGCCTACCTGTGCACTTGTTCCACAAACGATATATAACGAAAATATAATGGTCTTTTACTCTCACAAAATTGGCGAAATAATTCTCGGCCAATGGGCTGTTGATCTATCACATAAGCATAGCTTATATCTATACGCGTAAAAGATAATGAACACGAGAGACGATCTTAAATTATGTAAATTATGTATGAAAGGTTAAAATGAAATTTGAAAAAATCGCTTACCTAATTTGTCTTTCAAATGCAAACATTGAGATATGTGTGGAAATTGTAGAATTTTGCGCCATTTTTTACTTTTTCCTTTATTGCTGTCAGAACCACCTAAAAATATATATATGTGAAATAACACAAAAAAAAAAAAACAAACAGAATTAGTTAAATGAAATTTTTAATAAAAACAAAAAATTGACAGAATTTAAATTATAATGAATGAAAATTCTTGTTCTATATAATAAAGATAAACCTACACTGAAACCCACTGTGGAATCGTTTTAAAAATATTCTCCTTAGTTTTTTTTTTTTTTGATAGCTCGGTACAAATGAATTTCAAAATTATTTCTAACAAGAGTAGATATTATTCTCCTTCATTTAGAAACCTTAGAGACATCGTGTGCACGTCTGCTATTATTATAAGGCGCGCCTTACGAAGTTCATATTTACATATTTCGAGAGATTTGTAAATTTTTATATAGAAAATATCTCTTCATTAGTTAGTCAAAGTATTGCCCATCGCTATGTACACATTTTTCCCAAAGGGGTCTGACAGTTTGAGGTTTCTACACCTTGAAAAATCTTCTTCAAAGACAAAGCCATCGCTCCAATGCTCGGATTATTTTCTGTTAACATAGTTTTTAATAATTTTTTTTAAGACTTAATTTTTTTTTTAATTTAAATTTAATTCAATACTTTTAATAACAATAAATTAAATTGTTTGAAAAATCCCTCTACATTGTTAAATATTTTTGACTTAAGTAATATAATATGTTTTCAGTTGCGTTTAAATCGCTTGCGCAATTTGCTTTTTCTACAAAGAAAAGAAATCAAGCATCTGAGGAGCGATATGACTCTATCGTAAATATAGTATTTATGTGACTCTCAATTATCTCAGACGGTATAAACCGTACTCTTTCATTCTTTTTCCCAATATTAGGTTAATGCGAAAATTATGGAATCTTTCTTTATAGTTGGTATAAGACTTGTCGCCCCCTAATAACGTTAATGATGATGACGGTTCTAAACTAGCAAGTGTATTATAGTGGGTCGGCATATAATAGGTCATCAATAAATAACTTGCACTGCATCACGACACAACTACAAGACGGACAGGCGGACAGACAAGCTTAGATCGATTCAAAATAACTTTCGATGGGTCCATTTTCAAGGTGTTCTAGATGCCACATACATGAGTAGAAAGTTAATATAACCTCCTCGTAACGCAAATGGTGTATGATGTAAACAAAAATTGTACACATTTTTAAAGTTGCTTTAAAAACGATCGGAGGAGAGGTGTTAAAAATTTACATGGCATAACAATTTGTGATTGTATCATGTTTTTTATACAATTAAACTTAAAGACACTATAACACTATAATTTATATATGTTATCAGTTTTTAGAAAAGATTTATCAGCGACAAATCCGCATGTAAACATGTGCACATAAGTGTACATACAAACGATATAAATGTATTCATGTGCCCCCAACGTTGAACTTAATGTCAATTGTTTAAAAACATTATTTCGAGCAAGTAAGAAAACAAAGTTTAACATTTAATCCTGGTAAACAGTAGTATTTGCGTATAAGGTAACGGTAACAGTTGCTGTAGTTGCAATAGTTGTATCGCTTGTCACTTAAGCGGTTTAAGCACAGACACCGCATATGCTGCAACTTGAAACTTGATAAAATAATAAATACGCGACACACACACACACACACACACATACATACACACAGACAAAGTGAATTGGACAGTATCTCGCTGGTCAAAAGATATATATATTTTATAAATTTATTTTATTTATGTTGGACGTACTTTTGTGGTCTAATTAAGCTTCCATTTAAACTTGTGCAATCGAAATGGCTGACACATATATGTATATATGTATAAAGTAATCGTTAATTTTTTTTTTTTTTTCATTTGCATCTTTTCAGATTTTTCAAAATCTAATTACTATAAACGGTCGAGAAATGAAAACTTTGCACAATCTTCGATCTTTGCTTATTACTGTTATGTTATTTAATTATGGCAAGTTAGTATAAATTTTCAAATTAAAAAGGCATAAATTAAAGTAATAAAGTAAGCAAAGTTTTTTCATTCAATTGCATATATATATACACTTAACTAAAATTAATTTCATATATATTCGGAAAAAACTTGTAATTTGTACAACTCCTAGGTTTGCATCCATATAAGCTAATCGAGAAATCTTTTATTGTATAAAGTATAGTTTGCGGCATGAGAGAGAACAAAGCCTTCTAACCCCTTCATTGAGCCATATCCCGAAAAAAGAAAGATCATTCATCAACCGTCTACCATCCAAGCAGAACAGGTTTTAATAAGTTTCGCTAGTTATAGGACCATCTCGTACATTCATTTAAGATGAACACATTCTAGAAACATGGAAGTTCTTACAATTCATTGTCTATAATGACGTAATGCACTTGATAGAAAAATAGAAACCGTTATTGGAAAAGGAAAGGAAATCCTTAAGACAATTATCTAAATAGAGATTTCACAAATTGGCTTTTTTAATATAGAGGACGTGTTTTACGTAAAGGCTAAGTTTGAAATTGATATGCAGGTGAGGTAGGTAGCAAGTGAGGTAGGTAGTCGACGAAGTAGATAGCAGATAAGCTAGGTAGCAGGTAAACTAGGCAGCAGGTAAGAATGGTATCAAATAAGTTGGGTAGCAGGTGAAGTACGTAACAGGTAAGGTAGGTAGCAGGCGAGGTAGCTAGCACGTAAGCTAGGTAGCAGTTAAGGTAGGTAGCAGACGAGGTAGGTAGCAGGTAAGCTAAGTAGCAGTTAAGGTAGGTAGCTGGTAAGGTAGGTAGCAAGTAAGGTAGGCAACAGGTAAGATAGGTAGCAAATAAGTTGGGTAGCAGATGAAGTACGTAACATGTAAGGAAGGTAGCAGGTAAGCTAGGTAGCAGGAGAGGTAGGTAGCAAGCGAGGTAGGTACCAGTTAAGGTAGGCAGCAGGTAAGAAATATAGCAAATAAGTTGGGTAGCAGGTGAAGTACGTAAGCAGGTAAGCTAGGTAGCAGGAGAGGTATTTAGTAGGTGAGATAGGTAGCAGGTAAGGTTGGTAGCAGATAAAGTCATTTCAAAAATCCTGGTAAATCCAGGTAAATAAATCCTGATAAAGTAAAAAGTCATGGAAATGGTAAACGTAGAAAATCAGACATTTTTAAACATAAATGTTTTATAGGAAAACCGTTTAGCCATTTCACCGGGCGCGACAAGCACATTGTACAAAATTTTAATTAAAGTTAAAATGTAAGTACACCGACCTTTTGTAATTTCATGCTTGTGAAAGAGGAACAACTGTGAAGTAGTAAAAGAAACGAAAAAAATCACAAGAGTAATCACTAATAAGAAACACTTAAGGGATAATTATGCAGCCATGAAATTGCCTTTTGTCGTGGAAGCACTTAAAAAATCTGTGTATTTGCGTTACATGTAAACTGCAAGAGTAAAGTACTGTATAAGGCATGTATTTTTATTAGGCTCTTACATATTTGTATGCAAATTATTAGCAACAATTACATACATTGTCCAAACGAAAAGAGATCACAGCTTGATACCTAAAAGAAACTAAATTAAAAAAACACATAACTTTTGGCACGAGAGGTGACGCGACACTTTAAAATGAAAACAATATTGCAATATATAAATGACAGCGTGTAGGCTCAACATTTGTACACAATCCAGCTAAAAAGGTGTGTAGGTAGGTTTTCTTGTATAAATTTGAGTTTTTGGTTTTTTCTTTCTTTCTTTGAGAATCATAACATACCCACATAAATATGAGAACGCAGAGAATTTTATTTCTTAAGTGACTTAAGCCAATTCGTTTTTGGAAGAGTTCACCTAAGCAATGTCAATAAGATGACAATAATTGATTACCCGTTACGGTATAAAATGAAGAGATTAGATAGAGAAATAATGTTTATAAAAATCATTAATTGTTTTCTTTCAACTATTATTTATTATGCAATTATATTGTATTCAATTTTAATGTTCATTATCAGAGATAATTAAATGAAGATAATATACTTCATTCTTCCATCTTTTACCTTTGAAACATTTTCACAGTGTCTTCATATGGCTTGAAGGGAACAATAGGGGTCCTGATGGCAATATTTATTTATTCTTTTTTTTTGCTGCATACGAGAGAGAAACAGAAAGACCAGAGATACCAGCACAATAAAAACGCTATCGTGAAAGTAAAGTTAAAATTTTGCAAGAATAGCTTGCACGGCATGATCCCTACGAGCGAAAGATAACTGAAAAATTTCCCCTAGTGAAACAGCTATCAAATGATCTCTCTATGCTCTTATATTCCCGAGATTTATACGCACTTTCTCCCGCCCTAAATGTGACAATGATGCGAGCAGTAAGTAATGACATGAAAAATCGCTTAAATTGAAAAAAAATATGAGATCCTTATAATCCTGCTTATCGAATATCGTATGTCATATAAGCTTAACTATTGTCAGATTCTACAGTCGATTTAGCACTGTCCGTCCGTCTGCACATTTTTGATCCATACAGCAAGAAAATTGAAAATGTATAGTTGGTTGATAGCCTTGGATCCCGCTCAAGAAAGAAAATGAGAACGCATAGCTAGCAAGTACCCTCACGAATGCACAGCTTACAAATATACAATGTATCAATGTATGATATTTTGATTTAAAAACTTATACTAGGCAGTGGTTTCTAATAAGTTGGTGCATCCATTGCTTAACCCTTGGCCAACAGAATTAACAAGGTACAACTATATTTTTGTCCCATTGCAAAGGAGTAAGCGGATTAAGTGCGACACCAAATGTTTCCTAAACAAAACAAAATTGCTAGTATAAGGGCAGAAAAATATCGGAAACGATTTGCTTCGCTTTATCCTTAAGATAAATTTGCCAATTCACTGCATTCAACGTTGGTTGATTACACCTATATATATATATATATATATAGTTCAGAATTCTTAAATTGGACATAAAGGGTGTCTATCCATCACTTGATGTCGAACATAAATTTAAAATTCATTCATTAACTCAATTAGTAATGATTTTTATTAGGTCTTTTGTAATAAAAATTTGTTCA